CGCGACTGGATCCGCGTCGAACAACCGGGTCAGCATGGAGGAGGAGGAGGAGGAGGAGGAGGAGGAGGAGGAGGAGGAGGAGGAGGAGGGAGGAGGGAGGAGGAGGGAGGACGAGGAGGCGGAGTAGGAGGAAGACCCCCTGGAGGGGTTCGGGAACCGATCTGGAGCGGAGTCGGGCCGTGCGGGAGGGCCGCCGCGGCCTCAGCGGGCCCGCCGCCGGGGAGCGCGAGGCGAGCAATGCCGGGGTGCGCACGTCGTCCTCCGTGGTGGCCCCGTGAAGGGCGAGCGCAGCCGCCCAGAGGAGGAGGGGCGAGGGATGGGGGGCAGGCCAGGCGCGCTCGCGCCACATCTGACATCCTACCCCCTCAGCATCGCTGGGACGTCCATTCCCTGTGTTGTTTTTTGGTTTCGTGCGTGATTTTTTCGCCAAATGATTAAGGATGCTCCTCGATGGTCCTCGCCGAAAGAAAAATGCACACGTCCGAGCGACGCCAAGACCCCATCCGCCCAGCCCTTCCCTTTGCGCATTTGTTCTCCGTCCGCGGACGCGTGGCGTAGTCGACCTGGGGTTCCAAAGAGGACCCTATCGTGTCATGCGCAATCGGAAGTGGCCGAGGAGGAGGAGGAGGAGGAGGAGGGGGAGGAGGAGGAGGAGGAGGATGAGGAGGAGGAGGAGGAGGAGGAGGAGGAGGACGAGAGCAAGCAGCAGCAGCAGGAACCAGAGTAGAAGGTGTGGGAGAAGCAGGAGGACCAGGGGAAGTCGGAGGAGGGAGAAGGAGGGGAGCGACAACGATGAGGAGAGGCTCGGATTCAGAAAGCAGTGGCCCGCGCTGGGGCGAGATCGCCACTCTCAACGACGGGGGCGAAGCGCCGATCCTGAAACAAGGCCAGCGCCGCAACGGCAGCAGCAACGTGAAACATAGTTTACGTTCCGATCGGGAAACCATCGTACGTAAACAGACACCATGCGCGGTGGCAGGCGGGCGACCCTCTGGCAATCTCCAGGGAATGGAGAGCAACATGCCTGCAGGGCACGCGGGACCCCTCCCGGGGGCGACGCGGGCTGGGGAGGCAGGCTTCTTTCCCGCGGGGCTGTACCTCCACGAGCTGCACGTGAGGAGCCGAGCTGCCGGGAGCCGAGGGGAACTGGCGGGCCGCACGCGTAGCGGAGCCGCCCGCGCGCGCGAGAGCCTCACGCCATCGCCATGGGAAGCGCCATCAGCATGCGGCAGTAAGGGTGGATCCCCTCGCGCGCCACGGTGCCCTTCTGCGGCGCGGCGCCGAGGAGCGAGGCCACCCGGAGGGGCAGGACGGCGCGGTGCATGGCCTGGTGCGTGGTGGCGAGGCTGCGCAGCCACGCCGGGAGCGTCGCGGGGAGCGCGTCCGCATAGCAGCTGCACAGCGCGCCCTCGACGACGACCGTGCCGCACTGCGTGAGCGGCGCGTAGAAGCCCTTGTCGGACACCTCTCGGCGGCGCGCCGCAAGGGATGTGAGAAGGAGCAGGGCTTCTCAGAAGGCGGCTGGGCTTCTCAGGAGACCCCTGGCCGTCTGAGAAGGTTTCTGTGTCTTGTCCTTGGGGAAGGCTGAGGACCCCTCTCAGAAGGCCCGAGGCCTTCCGAGCCTCCTGGGAAGGCCCGCCCCTTCTCACTTCCCCCCCCCAGGCTCGCCGCCGAACCACGCCCACCTCCGACACCTGCACGCGGCGGAAGCTGCCGCAGAGGGGGTCGACGCGCAAGATCCACTGTCCCTCAGCAAGCGCCGCCGCCGGCACCGCGACGAGGAGAGCGTCCTCGGAGCTCGCGGCGAAGACCAGGTGCTCTGGCGAGAGCAGAAGCGGTGCGCCGTCCGTGGCACCAGCCTTGACGGACACGAAGCTCGCCGGGTTGGAGACCTCCATGTGCATGTGGCCCAAGAAGGGGCTGAACAGCAGCTGCCCCGCGCCGACGTCGCCGCAGAGGAGGGAGTCGCCCTGGCTCAGCTCACTCACCGGCACGGGCCCGCGGCCCTTCACGTAGACGCTGGCCCGGCCGGGGAAGCAGCCCGCGCCGCCCTCCCCCTCTTTCTTTTCGTCGTCTTCGCCCTCTGGCTTCTTCGTACCCTTGTCCTCGAAGGACGAGGCGTCGGAGAAGGCGCGGCGGCCACCGGAGGCGGTCTTGGACGCGGGCAGCGCGGCCCAGGAAGCAAAGTCGAAGCCCCTCTTCGCGCCGCCACCGCCCACCACTGATGCGCCCGCTGCACCCAGCCAGGAGGTGGCCTCAGGGCCAAGGCCAAAGCCGCACACCATCAGAACTCTAAAGGCCTGCGCCTTGCCTCGGGCGGCTGCTTTCTGGGGCGGCGCCAGCGCGGGTAAACCCGCGCGTGATCACGGGCGCGGAAAAGCGATGGCGACAGCTCGAGTCAACTTACGACGGCGACT